AACCGATGACGATGTTACTGCCCAATAGCCTTTCTTAGGACTTTGCAAGCCCTACTAGTCTTTCCCATGGTTAGCCTTTTCGGTCGAGTGCTTGTCGAGAGTCATCATGCGAACTTTGGTCTCCCTTAAGCAAGCACAGACACACACATATATACAGGGGCCGGTCACCAACAGAAGAGGAACTGATTGAGAGACTCACCGAGCGTGCAAGGGTAGAAAGGGCTGGTTTTTTCGGGACGATGTCGTCTGCCACAGTATTATCATTTGAATACTCGCTGGGGGCCTAGAAGGTGGAGGGAACTTTGCTGTTCATGCGGAGAAACCTCGCAATGTGCAGTAAATGAGCAATATTGTGTTTTTGGTTAAAAAAAAACGTAAATAAGAAAACAGGACCAGTAGCTACAATAAAATGCACCTACTGTTGCACACCGAAGCAGGGAAATCAGTGTGGACGTTGCTTATTAGTTGTAAACGAATTGGAAGTTTCTCCATGATGAACTAAGCCTCTATGTGTGATTTGACAGCGTAAGCTGATGCAGTGTAAAATGAACTTGAAATGACTAGAAGAGTGCGTAACCAAGGAAGATGGATTTGGAGTAGGGTCTCGTATGAGAAACAGGGAAAAGCAACCAAGAAGTAACCCTTCTAACTGACCTGGTAACACAAGACAACTGTCAAATCAATGCTGCAACCAAATACCATTGTTGTCCTGCCTTAGTTATCATAAAATGGTTTTCTGAAACGTTGTAATCTAAAGTGCCAATGGAACGTGACAGACTCTACTCCAGCCAGTGTCTGTGGTATTTACTGAATTACTTTTGCTGAGCAGCCGTGTGGTGGCAGCTGCACTGATTCTACTCTCCATTTTGGCTCACTGTAATTTTTGATCTTATATGAGCCGGCCGCCAACGTTTTAGTAAAGATCTTTACGAAAAGCCGCTTCGTAGAAACTCGGACTGTAAAAGAAACACCCTGTGACCGATCGGAGGCCAGAGCATGACACTGAACTCACAGCCGAGCATAGTGGAGCCTCCTGTAGTGATCAGAAAGGCTAAAAGGGCGTTTCTTGAGGAATAGCAGGTAACTTTGTTTGAAACGCAAGCAGCAGCAGCAGCAGCTGTATCGTGACACGCAACTTTAACGACCTGAATGAAGCGATGTTTTGTCGGGAGTAGTCGCAAAGGCCAAAAAATGTCTCAAAACCCCTATCAGTTGAGATAGGAGCGTTTGAAAGGCCCCTAGGCACAACCTCCATCATGGCAATTTAAAATAAAATGGGGTAATAGGTCATCTGACAAACAACTGGATTGACTACAACATAAAATTGGAGGCTAACAATGTCAGCATAAAGTTAGGTGTGAGCATTAAAGAAACGGGAAGTTTTAAAGCAAACAAGTGACATAATTTTAAGCAAATCGGGGTTAAACTTTGCGCACTCTGGGGTTAATAGAATGTTAAGAAAGAGCCCAGTTTAAAATTCCTTAAAGGCTGAAGCAATTGACAAATGCATTAGGTATGACCAAAAGGTTTAAAGTTACTGCGCCGAAAAGAACCCCACAGCAAATAGCGACGACTAAGAGCTTAGGAAGCCAGGTTAAAATTAATTAGAGGACTTACGTTAGCCGTGGAACTGCTAGATTGTGGAAAAGGCGTAACGAGTGTAGAAAGCCAAAGTACAATTAAGACAAATGGGCTCCGCAATCTTGGGGCAGCAAACAGATATTTCATCCGGCTGGAACGCAATGACACAATCAATACACCCAAATTTGTATCACATCAGAAGGCCTGTGTTCCAGTTAGTCTGGACAAGGTTCTGATCAGGAAGCCAGTGCCAGAGACATGAAGAAACTTGTGCGGATCCAGCTTTAGACCGTTAACAACTTTTCGTATTCCAATAAAATATCTGACATGAAAAAGATGTGCCTAACAGACTAGACACCGGAAGGCGAGCTTCCGATAAGTCGGACGTCAAGACTTTTACCTTGGAGTTAATAGTCATGAGTGTATACCACTTAAAATTCTGGGTGAACATTGGTCTATAGACCACACAGAGAACCAGAGGGTGTTGTTTTTCCAAATGTTGTATTAGTCAATATATCAGGACCAGAGCCTAGTGATACGGAAGGGGGGGAAGCATTGACAATACATTATTCATTCTGTAGGGCTACTTGCAACAGGGTTACTTTGGAGACTTAAAAGCGAATCAAAGCATTTGTCTATTTCTTTGGCGGGGCCACTACATAATGGCAAATGATTTGACTTCGTACGCACATGCGATTGCTCTTTAGAAGCGCAAAAAAGGTTAAATACAGCGTAGCTGACCTCTTTTTTGTGGGCGTCTCCGAGGTGCATGTGGAAAGCAAGTCTTTGACCGTCTTTCTGAGCTAAAACAAGATAGCAAACGAAAAAGTAGGATCAATTTCAGAAGGTAAGCAAAAATGTGGGTGAGAAGATCAAAACAAAAAGTTGTACTTGGAAAATAGTCTGCAAGGCGCTAACAAGAAATTTGGTCGACCACCTTAGGTACCCCTTGCCCCTAGTTCAGTAGTTTCTTTTAGTTTTATTAATTTTACTTTACATTAGTTTATTAGTTTGGCTGTATACCGCCAAAGTTAGATCAATAAACTAAAATAACTACCACTTACTAAACTTAACTAACTAAACTAAGCTAAACTTAACAAAACTAACTAAATTAAAAAGTAAACCACACAAAAACTAAATAAACTAATAAACTAGACAATAAACTAACTATTGCCACTTGCCACGTAAGACAGAATTCCGGGTCAAGGGTACATAAGATGGTCGACCACCTCTATTGTTATTTGAAAGGCTTCGAAAAAGTACAGTGCAAATTGACCATCTTATAAAAAGGAGTGGAAATCAAATACGCTCCTGCTGCCTCTTTCGCACCTTTTTGTAAACCAGTTAAAATAATCTGTTAGATTAGTAGGGTTTCCAGGAAGTTTCCAGTTTGACAAACGACAAGATATATATGTATATATTTCGAGCAAAGCAGGATGTCGACTCCTGCATGAACTTTTTTTGGCCACCTGCACAAATGTACTCCGCAAAAAGATGACTACCTAGGGGTTATGCATTTTTCGCACTGATTTAGATATAAAATGCCCATTAAAATGTCCTTTTTTCTACTTATTTGACAGTAAAGCAAGTCCTTCTCAAGGAAATAGTATTTTTCTGTTTCAAAAATTTGGCAACTAAGGGATTATTAGGAACGCGTAATGCCCATTCAAACGGCACCAGACCTGTCCGTTTACTAATGCCCCTTCCGAAGTAGACGAAGCATTCTACATACAATACACAATTTTATAAACCGTTTACGGCATCTTTTTAATGATGTAGAGGAATGTATGATTTTTTATGTATTGAATGTGTGCAGTTTTTAGACAGTTAAGCCTAAAGCGAAATGCACTCGGGAATTAAACCACCGTTAAGAAACTCCAATATACTACTTTCTCGAGTACAACATTTTAGGAAGACGTGACGATCTACTAAGTAAATCTAGCAAACAATATTTTGTATATGACTTGCATAAAATATAGTTGAATTAAAATGTCAAGTGCAAATTAAGAGTAAAAAGCACACCGCCTAAATTATAATTTTTTATCGAGTGTAGCTTCGACAGGCGGCCAAAAAAGAGTTCAATCAGAATCACCTCAGGATCCTGCTGCACGATAATCAATAGTACAACCAAGTAATTATTTCTGATCGAAATTGCATTTCATTTCCAGTTAACATTGCAGGAGCTTGGTCACTGGCTATAAGTGATCAAGGTGCCGACAATAGGCTAAAATCTCTGAGTGCGCAAATTAAATATATTGCTCTAAAGAATCCTCGCAGGACATAGAGGTCAGAGACCACAGACTCGGTAGGTAAACAAACGACTTAAAAGAAAAAGGACAGAGACAGGCCAACCTTGTCATCTGCTTTGAGTTCCTCGTTTACGAAGATCAAGTAGTCTTTTGCAAATTTCGTAATGTTACTTTGTACACTAAAGAGGAAATAAACTGTAATTAAAGCAATTGATAATTAGACAAGAGTGACAGCAGAAATCAAATAAATAGCTATGAAAACAGGCCTTCAATAATATATAAGGTGCAAAATTCCACTATTTAACGTCAATGCATTAGAGGTCATGAACACAATGTTTGTCGAATATGCATCCGCAGTGGAAACTTCATTAATTCATTCAGTGATAAACGATTTGCAGTTTACAAAAGGTCGAGTATTTGCCGCTCCTCATACGATTCCTTTATACAAAAGTTTACAACTTTCTTTGTTCCGGCGCACTAATAAAGTAAAGTTCGCATGAATATGACCAAGAAACGCGTTTTAGATGCTTCATATAGGTGAAAGATAGATAAAACTTATCCGGATTTTCCTAATTCTTTTGATGGTTATTTGCTTAAGTAGAAGAAAGCAGGTAAAAAACTTACATCTTATCTACGTCAGGAACTCTCGTTCTAAGCTCTTCTGTTATCCTCTTTGCCTCCTCCTTAGCCTCCTGAAAGAAGGTTAACGGTTATATTACCGAACTTATACGCAATATTCTACGTCAGAGTGAAATAGAACCACTTCTCATTTTTTGGCTGCAACAAAACGGGTGATTCCAAGACAGAACTTGGCAGCAAGTCATTAGGACTGTAAAATTCATGAAGATGTCAAATAGCGTTTGGTAAGGCTTTATGTGGCATTTCGACGTCAGCAGCAGAAGCAGCTCGGACAGGCAATTCCTAGGACGACGTCTCCAGATCCCCTCAGCGCCATCCTTAAAATATTGAATCTGACACGGTTGAATCTACCAGGATGCGCTAAGTGCAGTGGATTAGGCGGTGGCCAACTGTTGATATAAGCCCTACCTCACAGTTAACCCAGTGTGCGCTTGTGGACTGAGTCAGACAAATTGGCTCCTCCTTATGTAGCCTCTATAATACTCTCATTTATCTAGGACCCGAGCATCTCAGCACTAATGTGTGGTGTAGGCAGCTGCGTATGGCAGGCGTGAAGTGGATGTTTATCTCCGTTAGCCTGCTGCAGGCAAATCCAACATCAGATGGCTCCGACAGTGGAGTGATGCATAAGAGAGTTACAAAGGACATACGCAACAATTTCAAATCGGCAATAGCACCAGATACCATTCTCTAAGGTAAAAAAGGCTCGCGCGAAATTCGACGAAGACCAAAATTTAAAAAAAAACTAACTTACTTTAGCCTTTTCCGGATTATTTGCCGCCTTGGTTTCTGCCACATGTGCCACTTCAGCTTTTTGCATTAGTTTCTATGTGGAAATAGATAAAAGCGGGGAAGGGAATAATTACTAAAACGTATTCCACACGATCGAGGCTTGGATTCAGTCGACTTTTCTTTAAGTCTTTCAACTGTGGTATGTCCGGCCTGTCGTCCGCCTAAACGTTTATTAGCTGAATAAAAAGAGGTCATTGCTACGTTAAACTTCATTTCGTCGAGATCAATATCGGGCTTCAAAATTTTCAAAATTGATTCATCAATTGACTTTGCGAGGCCCCTTAATTCTGGAGAAATTCAAAAGGTCGCTAAAAAATATACGCTAACTCACGATCTAGTGTAGTGCAGTATTTATCCAAGGTTGTTTTCAATTTATTCATTTGTTTCTGAAACATAATTTTAAATATTAAAAACATCGTACTTTGTTTTCTTTTAAGCTGGCTTTTTTCTCAATAAATTCGAATGCAGGATCCTTTTGCTTGGCGTTTACCTAAAAAGTATGTTATGCAAAAGCGAGCATCGGAACTTTAAGCGACACGCGAATAATCCGGTCCCGTAATTTTTTGCTGATGGTTTCTTTATTTTTCTGTTGCTGTTCGTCTACTGAACGCCTATGTGAATGCGCGGCTGCACTTTGGTCTGCAATAAGTTGTAAAAGAAGGGTTATAGACGAGAAAGTGAGCATTAAGCATGTTTCATTTAACGTGCTGATAGGCACTAGAAGATCATAGAAAATGCAACATAAACATTTCTGGTGCAGTTTAAGTGAATAATTGAGGCAGAATATATAGTCCAGAAAATTTTCCAATTTAGCCCCAAGAATGCAGATAAACTCAAAACTCAAAAAATGATCATGAATAATTACCATTCAAACATGCAAATAAAGACATTCCCGCGGCAACACAATGGTGCCACACACCTTTTAAATGGACAGTTTTCTGACGAAGACTATTCATCACGACACCTGTTTTGCTAGTTTAAAATAAATATCTAGTAGATCCCTTCATGTATTTTCGGCACCACCGAAAGAAAACATAAGACCTTATACGATCATCGAGGTTAGCACACAATAAAACAGCATATTTTTTGAAAATGCATTAGACTATGGAAGACATAAGCAAACTATTGGGGCTTTGGCGCGCCGCTCCAATTTATACATATAACGATCTTTGCCAGATAATACCAATCCTCCGCACTAATAGTTTATACCTATATCACAGAGCGTATGTTGTGTTAGAAACCATATTTCCTTTCATTAAAAATTGATGTATGCATAGCTAACAAGGTTTTCTTTATCAAATCTGATTAAAAATTTACGTGTCTAGACGAAGACAGCACCCAGATTCGTTGTAGTTACTACGGACTGACAGGTAAACTCATCTCGGCCAAGTGTGACCGATCATGGAAGTACATACTAGTTTCTGACTTAGACATGCCTACCTTTCGTAGACTCATTTGAAAGGGAGTCAAACTCCAGCCACCATTTTTGCCCTGTTAGCTTCCCTCATTCAGATAATTCTGACTAATTTTCTGACAATGCAACTGCTATTGTCGTTTTGATTCTAAGCCCTAACTTCCCTTTTTCCATATATTAACACTGACAGCTACGACACTTTCACATTTCGTTCATGTATGAATTTTCTCGGAGTTTCGCTGAAAAAGTTACTCGTAGATGATAAAATATGTTGGTAAAAATCTGAATTTGAAAAACACGGATAAGATACTCATGCTCATGTGGACAAGTACTCTTAGAAAAACGTGCGATGATGTTCTTTCAATCAATTAAGCTTATATAGAACTTGCATAGGCGGATTAAATGAGGGCAGACATTAATGTGTGACGTCATTTTTTCCTTAAGAAAAAAAATGTTTATAAACATTATTTATTACGAATTCACAGCAAGGGTGGCGTGAGAAATCTATAATTAGGCTGAGAAAGATAACTGGAAATCGTAAAAGGATAAAAAACCTAAAAATCAAACGACTTTTAATCTCACCTACGGACATATCGCGTTGGAGAATAAAACGCAACAATCAAATGTGCACACAAAAGTGTCGAATTATCTTCGGTCCCTGTTTATCACCCCACTAAAATAATTATTGTCATACAAGTCGAATGATAAGAAGACATAATTCTTTCAGATGAGAAAGCATTAAATAACAGCTTTGAACAGAATATTCTAAACATCAGGCATTTAGCTTATTAAAATCTGGATATGGGCAAACCACGAATATGAATTTATGTTCAAGTTTCAAATTTTAAAGGGGTGCCGTGGGACCACCATGCAAACTACGGGTCAAGTCAAGTCAATTTATTAAGGGAAATATAGGCAAACGCCTTTGAAC